ATGTCATAGCTGCACATCCTTCTAGTTGCTGTATGTGGGACGCGGCCTCAGCATGGCCGGAGAAGCGGTGTGTAGGTGCGTGCCCGGGACCCACACCCGGGCCGCCAGCAGCGGAGCGCACGCACTTAACCGCTAAGCCACGCGGCCCGCCCACAAGGATTTTTTTTTTAAGGACAATTGTTCTTGTTTTCTCAGAAATTGGGTCCTAACTCAAATGATATTATAGGTTGATCTACCTGTCCAACTCCATCACAAAAGCACAGAAACCACTCAAGTTTTCTCCAAGATGGAGTTCCTGGGGCATATGTGCCTTATCTGCTTCTAATGTCTCAATCAATATTTAGGAGCATTTTGAGGAACAGGGGAGGCTTTGAGATTGACAAAAGACAGGTGAACTTTGAACTGCTTTCTAAAGCCATCCCTCTGGCCTTGCAGAGATTTTTAAGACAAAGATAGTTGCTTCTACTTGTCCCCAAAGAACTGAATTAAAGTTTGAATGACAAAGAAGTTGACCCATCCTTCCAGCTACATTTTTTTCCAATTGCTTTTTTTTTAATATATCAGGGAGATCTTTAACTTAAGAGGTGAATCAAAAGATTTGTATGTTCTAAAACTTTCAGGACAATGTATCACACTTTTAAAAGTCTGCACAAAGCATTTAACAAAGGCCCTCTTTTTTAAGTGTACAATTTAACCCTAGACCCATTTACCTTGGAGGAGGGAAGCTCCCATTATCTTCTTTTCTGTAAGTTTAACTAACATAGTCTGAAGGGCAGATTTATATGCTGTCTTACAATCAAGCAGGGGAAACATTCCCCAGTGAGTCACAATGTTTATCCCCACAACACAATCTTTAATACAATCGGAAAAAAAGAGATACAATCACTTCATATGAAGCCTGTAAATATACCAATTTTTCTACAAAATTTCATCTGAACTCCATTAACTCTTATACCTCTAGTCATAGTTTTCATTAGGACTTCATCAATAGGTCTTGGTCTTATAATTTTGGACAGGGGAAGCATTCCCAATCAGACATTTTAAAACATACTCAGACAAAGTTGATATAACCTCTTTATATAAAATTAGCTCAAACATTCCAACCTTTATAATCTTATCAACACTTGTACTTTTACATTTTCTCAATTTAATTGTAACCTGAGTCAGGGTCTTAAAGCTAGTCATTTTTTTTTTCCTTTTTTAGTTTGGCCTTTTCATAGGTACCAATAAAACAATTATGATGAGAGCTCTCGCAAATTTTTTCTCCCTCAATTTAGAAGTTTTCCCAATTTAAATGATCCATTGTCTGGCCACACTGATGAGTAGGATCTTAACAGCAACTCATACCATAGCTTAACCGTGGAAGCAACAGGCGTCTCCAAAAAAGATCCAGAGAAATCACTCCCCAAAATAAGAAAGCACAACAAACAACAAAGGTTGAGATGACAAAGGCCCCTTATGAAAGCAAATGGGACCCCTTATGACAAACTCCCAAGAGCAGACACAGCTGGACAAAGAGAATTTCTCGGAACACCAGTCCACTTGACTTGACTTGCCGCCAAGATGCATGCTGGTACATGCATCCTCCAGATGGCAGAGACCAGAAAGGTCAAAAAGCCAAGCTCTTAAGACATAAAACAAGACAAAAGGAAAAAATCTCACCTGATATGCACATTAACAGCTTTAGCTAAGCCTTGGGTCTCTTGGAGCCAGAATAATACCTAGGGGGGAGGTGCCACAGGGTTGGGGATTGTGCGTACTTTACAGAGTACCTTGTCATTGCAGAGACATTTTCTTGAAGTTGGCAGGGGACCTGTGTCATCTACCCCATTCAGTGACCCAACTGATCCTTTCACGGGAGACTTCTTGGGGTGGTGAGCGTCCTAATGGCTCTTAACTGCTCGACCTGCACCCACCAAATTTGTGGCCTTTTTGGCTTCCAAGATGCCCTTAGCTTTTCACTTCATGTGCATGTTCTCAGACAACAGGCTTACAGAGATGCCTGTGTCTTGTGACAAATGACAAAAAAAGTCAGAGACAAGGAGAAATAGTGACTATCTCTGAGAGGAAAAGGATCTACACCCAATGAGTACTCATTGGTGAGACTTGCTAAGTCCAAGAAACTAGCTTCATCAATATTTTCTCCTGCTAATCTAAACTTAGAAAAGAAAAAAAAAACAACAACCTCACCACTTTTGCTTCCACTGGACCCTGCAGGCAGAGATCCAGGAGACTGACGTGGTAAGAATTCTTACTTCCTGCCAGCTCTTATCAGGGGTCCAGGACCTCTCAGCTGCAGTAGATAAGGAGCGAAGAGCGTCCAGCCAGTGAATTTTTTATCCCATCCTCATTGCTAGACTGAAGGGGAGGAAGACTATCCTCTACCTACTCTGGGTCCTTTCTGGCTGGGCTACAAATTAAATTGACATGAGACTGAATAGCAGGGGAAAATCAAACAAAGCTTTATAACATGTATACATGGGAGAGACCAGAGAAACTGAGTAACTCAACAAATGGCAGAGGTTCTCATCTTAAATAGCATATTCAGGCAATGACCAAGGAGGATTTTGGGGGTGGGGGAGTCAGCTATGAGAGATTACCAAAAAAGCACAGTAAACAAGAATATGCAGATTTAAGTCCTAGCCTTTCACACTGATAAGAGTTTCTAGAGATAAGGTCATCCCCTCTTCTTCCTGGTACAGAGAGGGAGATACCTTTACAAATGGAGATTTCCCTTATGAATGTAAATGTTTCTGACAAAGGGTAACTTCTACTTTTACTTGGTTTTCAGAGCTTTGATAAAAATCGGCTTAGCAAGGACCCTCCCAGTCTATCCATACCCAGAGTTATCTATGGTGATGAACTGTCCTGGGGACAGGCCTTCTATCTTAAATTCTTTTAGGCAGTCAGGTGTGTGTGTGGGGGGGCGGGGGAGGTCACAGTTTCTTCCAGAGTCTTCTGAGCCTTTATTGTCTTCAGCTTGAAATAATCTTCATACCAGAGTGGCACATCTTGGGGGGACCTGCCTTGAACCCCATCAGCATTAATACAGGCAACTATTTGTTTAACACATACTTTGTACCCCATGTTGTAAGTACAACGCCAACAGCTTAGCTTCTTGGTTGTTGGGTTTCCAAACTACACAAATCAGGAAGTAGGCCCAGAGAGGAGCCTGCTGGAGAGACTCATCCTGGGGGTTGATTTTGATTTCAGAGTTTACACTGGGACTGACCCCTCCTAGGATCTGAGAGGAGAAAGTGCACAATGCATACAGTGGCTTCTTTTCTGCCAGCCCTAAACAGCTCAAAAAAAGTGGATCTCTCACAGTTGTGAGGCTGGGTACAAAGCACCTTGATTCATGCATCTAGCAAACATTTCTGCTGTGGCTCTCGACCCTACTGGACCTAAGGTCTCCTTCCTATGACAACTATTTTGCCATAATCCTTTTAATATCTTGAACCTATATAAACATTAAAAAAATCAATTTGATGCCAAAAAACAAGCAAGAGGAAAGTCGCGTATAATATGCATTCCAATATGTAAATGTTCATTTTGACCTGATCAGCAGACAATGATCACAGTCCCATATGTGGTGGTTTTGAATGACAGAGCCCGCAGCTGCCAGTGCAGACTGACAAGTGGTGGTACACTGTGGATACTTCCAGCAGCCTTGACTTTAAGTTCTTCAGCTTACATATACATATGTATATATTTTAAAGCTTCAGTGCATGGGTGTATCCTGGTTGTTAGTTTAGTTCTCTATGTGAGCTGCCATCACAGTATGACAACCGACAGATAGGTGGTGTGGTTCTACGACAGGGAGTAAACCCAGGCCATAGTGGTGAGAGTGCTGAGTCTTAACCCCTAGACCACCAGGGCTGGCTCTAAAAAGCACACATTTTAATATTTTGCTTTTTTATTAAATTCTAGGCTGTGGGTTTTCATTCATTCAATAAGAATGTATTGAGTATTTACGGAATTAGAACTATTCTGGGGGCACAATTTATTTAACTTGCCTTTCCCACCTCCAAGTGCTGCCGCCTCCCTAATGAGGCTTAATCCCACCATTCTAGAAAATTGCATTTCCCCATCCCTCTCCCCTGATTTGTTTTTTTCGCAAAGCAATTATCCCATGAGTAGTGTTCGTTGCTGTGGCCCAGGTTCCTAGAAAAGTGCCTGGGTTAGACTAAGTAGGAGCTCAATACAGATTTGGATTAACGGATTTTATAATTAACTGCACCTCCACGAAGAGGAATCCCCAACAGCAAGTTTTCCTTGAAAGACTGACTACACTGGGGGATCGAGGACTAAAAGGGCAGAGGCTGCCTGTGGGAATATTCTGGCTGTGCTGGGCGTGGCAGTTAGTCCCTGGTCTTCCCCACCCAGTGCAGTCCCTGGAAGAAGAACGCCTGCTGCACTGCCAATACCAGCCAGGAAGCCCATAAGGATATCTCCTACCTGTACAGATTCAACTGGGACCACTGCGGCACGATGGAGCCCGCCTGCAAGCGCCACTTCATCCAGGACACCTGTCTGTATGAGTGCTCCCCCAACCTGGGGCCCTGGATCCGGCAGGTACGGGTTCCTCCTCTGCACCCCCAACTTTACAGAGGAGCTGAGCTTCCCAGACATCTCAGGCTACGTCTCTGGCTCTGGGTCTATTCAGGGATGGGCTGCTAAGGATCTTGAAGCTGAGCCCTAGTTCTCTGCTGACATCTCCCAGGTGGACCAGAGCTGGCGCAAAGAGCGGATCCTGGATGTGCCCCTGTGCAAAGAGGACTGTGAGCGCTGGTGGGAAGACTGCCGCACTTCCTACACCTGCAAGAGCAACTGGCATAAGGGCTGGAACTGGACCTCAGGTGAGGGCTGGGGCGGGAGGGGCGGGAGGGATCTGGAGGTGAAGGAGTGAGGGTGTAGAACCGGTTGATGTGGGGCTGTGGGGCTGCCAGAACCAGAGATAGTTCTGGGCCCAGTAGCTAAAGGTCTTCCATCCTCCCTACAGGGTACAACCAGTGCCCAGTGGAAGCTGCCTGCCACCCCTTCGATTTCTACTTCCCCACGCCCACTGCTCTGTGCAATGACATCTGGACTCAATCCTACAAAGTCAGCAACTACAGCCGAGGGAGCGGCCGCTGCATCCAGATGTGGTTCGACCCGGCCCAGGGCAACCCCAACGAGGAGGTGGCGAGGTTCTATGCTGAGGCCATGGCAGCCGGGGCCGTGCCCCATGGGACTGGGCCTCTCCTGCTCAGCCTGGCCCTGATGCTGCTCTGGCTGCTCAGCTGAGCTCCTTTTACCTTCTGATACCTGGACATCCCTGCCTGTCCAGCCCCACAGCTCCCAGCTATTCCGTCTCTGCTCTGTGGTGGGGCCTCAGACCCACAGTTTGAATAAACCAGACACGCCAGATGTGTCGTGTGAAATACTTGGGTCAGAATGGGAGGGTGACTTTTGCTTCCCAGTTCTCTTTGACTGAAGCCAGTTACACTTGGTCTGCTCCCAGCTTTGATACTTGCTATGAATGTTCCAGATGCTTAACTATTCTTGTAACCTGGGACCTACTTCATTTTTCACTACAGCTCTAATCTAGAGCCAGGGCTAGGATTTTTTTTTTTTTTATAATTTGATTTTTTTTTATTGTGAAATTTTTGTTGTACATCATTGTTTATCAGTCACCATATAAGTGTATCCCTCCACCCCTTGTGCCCACTCCCCCCATCCCTCTAGGCCCTGGTAACCACCAAACAGTTCTATATGTCCATGTGTTAGTTTATCTTCCACATATGAGTGAAATCATGCAGTGTCTGTCTTTCTCTTTCTGGCTTATTTCGCTTAATTAACATAATACCCTCCAGGTCCATCCATGTTGCTGCAAATGGGACAATTCTGTCTTTTTTTATGGCTGAGTAGTATTCCATGGTATATATATACCACATCTTCTTTATCCACTCATCAGTCGAGGGACACTTGGGTTGCTTCCATGTCTTGGCTATAGTGAATAATGCTGCGCTGAACACAGGGGTACATAAACCTCTTTCGATTGTTGATTTCAGGTTTGTTGGGTAGATACCCAGTAGTGGGATAGCTGGATCATAAGGTATTTCTATTTTTAATTTTTTGAGGAGTCTCCATACTGTCTTCCATAGAGGCTGCACCAGTTTGCATTCCCACCAGCAGTGGATTAGGGTTCCCATTTCTCCACAGTCTCTCCAGCACTTGTTGCTTTCTGTCTTGGTGATTATAGCCATTCTAACGGGTGTAAGATGATATCTTAGTGTGGATTTGATTTGCATTTCCCTGATGATTAGTGATGTTGAGCATCTTTTCACGTGCCTATTGGCCATCTGTATACCTTCTTTGGAGAAGTGTCTGTTCATTTCCTCTACCCATTCTTTGATCGGGTTGTGTTTTTTTGTTATTCAGTTGTGTGAGTTCTTTATTTATCAAGATTAATCCCTTGTCAGATATATGGTTTACAAAAATTTTTTCCCAGCTGGTGGGTTCCCTATTCATTTTGATCCTGGTTTCATTTGCCTTGTAGAAGCTCTTTAATCTGATGAAGTCCCATTGGTTTATTTTTTCTTTTGTTTCCCTTGTCTAAGTAGACATGGAATTCAAAAAGATCCCTTTATGGCTGATGGCGAGTAGTGTACTACCTATATTTTCCTCCAGGAGTTTTATAGTTTCAGGTCTCACCTTCAGGTCTTTCATCCATTTTGAGTTAATTTTTGTGTACGGCAAAACAAGATGATCTACTTTCATTCTTTTGCAAGTGGCTGTCCAGTTTTCCCAACACCATTTATTGAAGAGACTTTCCTTTCTCCACTGTATGTCCTTAGCTCCTCTGTCAAAGATTAGCTGCCCATAGATATGAGGTTTTATTTCTGGACTTTCAATTCTGTTCCATTGATCTGTGTGTCTCTTTTTGTACCAGGATACCATGCTGTTTTACTTACTATCACTTTGTAGTATGGGTTGAAGTCAGGGTTGTGATGCCTCAAGCCTTGTTCTTCTTTTTCAGGATTGCTTTAGCTATACGGGGCCTTTTGTTGCCCCATATGAATGTTAGTATTCTTTGTTCTATTTCTGTGAAGAATGTCCTTGGGATTCTGATTGGGATTGCATTGAATCTGTAGATTGCTTTAGGTAGTACGGACATTTTAACTATGTTTATTCTTCCAATCCAAGTGCATGGAATACTTTTCCATTTCTTTATGTCATCATTGATTTCACTTAAAAATGTCTCATAGTTTTCATTGTGTAGGTCTTTCACTTCCTTGGTTAAATTTACTGCTAGATATTTTATTCTTTTTGTTGCAGTTGTAAATCGGATTGTCTTCTTGAGTTCTCTTTCTGTTAGTTCGTTGTTGGTATATAGAAATGCAACTGATTTCTGTAAGTTGATTTTGTACCCTGCCACTTGGCTGTAGTTGTTGATTATTTCTAATAGTTTTCCAATGGATTCTTTAGGGTTTTCTATATATAAGATCATGTCATCTGCAAACAGCGAGAGTTTCACTTCTTCGTTGCCTATTTGGATTCATTTTATTCCTTTTTCTTGCCTAATTGCTCTGGCCAGAACCTCCAGTACTGTGTTGAATAAGAGTCAAGCCCAGGATTTTATCATTTGAGTTGGACCCAAGCCTTCCAGGGTTGACTATTCTGCCCAGTGCTCAACTCTCCAATAGAAGAGAGGGGAATGGGAGTGCCCAGCATGTTCTGGATGGATGCCTGGGAAGAGATGAGGGGGCCAGCAAGAGGCAGACCCCACTAACAGCTAATACCCACAAAGCACTATCTGCCAGGCACTATCCTAAATGCTTTGTACTTATTCCTGTAGGCTATAGATATTGTCGTCGGCATCTTACGTATGTGGAAACAGACACATAAATTAAAGAACATGGCTAAGCCACCTCCTGCATAAGAGCTGGAATTCCAGCCCAGGCAGTCTGGCTCTTGAGAACAAGCTCTTTCTCCTTGTGGAGCGGGTAAATGTGTTTCTTGAAGGGATAATGGACCCCATGCCTGACCAGAGCAGCTGGGCCTGAGCTGGTCTGGCAGAGCTAGGACTGGAACCCAAGCCTAGACTCCTAGAGCAGGTCCCAATTCAATGATTTGACAGGTTTTTAGACAGTGTTCCCACGTTAAGTATCATTTGTAGCAGCTGTAATAAGCTAGGTGATGTCACAGTAACATCCCTAATCTCTCTCTGGCACAACTAACTTTTGTTTCTTGTTCAAGCTACGGTGCTTAAACAGTGGGCTGTCGGGGGATTCTGCTTGTCACCCAGGGACCCAAGTTGATGGAGGCTCCATCTCATCCCACACCTCCATGAGACAGGAATAGGGAACTTGGTGAATTCCATGCAGGCTCTTAAAACTTCACCCAACACTTATTTTGTTGGCCAGATCAAGGCATGACCATGACTAACTTCAAGGAGGCCAGGAAAATACAATCCTGTCTGGAAGGAGAGGGCAATTGGAATGTTTGTCAACAGATCTAGTGACTACTGCAAAGACCTTGTTATGCACAGTCCATTTATATTTCTGGCATGGTCATGGATACAAATTTAATTTTTTAGTTAGATCCTGATAAAAAGGAAAACCAACTCTTTGAACCTATGCAAAGAACTATAGCAACATGAAAAGCAGAGCAATCCACTGGCCATCATCCTAGTGGTCTTGCGAACAAGGCCAATCAGTGTATCATATTCTCTCCAGAACCAGTGACACTATTTACAAATATGACTTGTTGACAGATGTATCAGAATTACAGTGAAATTTACAGTTAGTACCATCTCAATCCAACATGCCTTATCAAAGGCCTATTGTGCTGTTTCTGATCGATTGATAAAAATACTTGTCTGAATCCCACTTTCTGTAGTTGCCATCCTCAAATTCTGAGGATTCATTAGCTTGCAGAATGTACTAATAATTTTCCATATTCAGAACTCCTAGAGCAGTAGTACTGGCAAAGAATAGCCATATAAATCAATGGAACAGAATTGAGAGTCCAGAAATAAATCCTTATATTGATAGTTAATTGATTTTTGACAATGGTGCTAAGCACTTCATTGGGGGAAGGGATAGTCTGTTCAACAAATCTGCTGGCCCAATTGATTATCCACACACAAAAAGATGGACATAGACCTTCAACTCATACCATACACAAAATTAACTCAAAATGGATCATAGACTTAAATGTGACAGCTAAAACAATAAAATTTCTAGAAGAAAACAGGAGATCATCTTCCAGACACTGTGTCAGGCAAAGATTTCTTAGATTAAAGCTTCCATCCATCCTTTATTTCTTTTTTGGACAAAAACACAGTCCATCACTGAAAATACTGATAAATTGGGTATTATTAAAATTAAAAACTTTTGCACTTCAAAAGATACCGTTAAGAAAATTAAAAGATGGGCCGGCCCCGTGACTTAGTGGTTAAGTGCGCGCGCTCCGCTACTGGAGGCCCCGGTTCGGATCCCGGGCACGCACCAACACACCGCTTCTCCAGCCACGCTGAGGCCGCGTCCACATACAGCAACTAGAAGGATCTGCAACTATGACAAACAACTATCTACTGGGGCTTTGGGGAGGGTGGGAAAGGAGGGAGATTGGCAATAGATGTTAGCTCAGAGCTGGTCTTCCTCAGTAAAAAAAAAAACAGGAGGATTAGCATGGATATTAGCTCAAGGCTGATCTTCCTCACACACACACAAAAAAATTAAAAGACAAGTTCAGACTAGAAGAAATATTTGCAAAACACACAGCTGATAAGGTTTTGTATCCATAATATACAAAGAATGCTTACAACTCAATAAGAAGAAAACATACAACCCAATCTAATAATGGGCAGGAGAAATGAACAGACATATCATCAAAGAAGGTACACAAATGACTAATAAATACATGAAAAGATGCTCAACATCATTAATCAGAAGGAAAATGCAAATTAAAACCACAATAAGATATCATTTCATACCCACTAGAATGGCTATAATAACTAAGACTGGCAATGACAAACGTTGGCAAGGATGGGGAGAAACTGGAACCCTCATGCATTGCGGATGGAACTGTAAAATGGTGCTGCCCCTTGGAAAACAGTGTGGCAGTTTCTCAAAGAGTTAAATGTAGGGGCCGGCCCACTGGCTTAGCGCTTTGGCAGCCCGGGATTCACAGGTTCGGATCCTAGGCACACACCAACGCACCACTTGTCAAGCTATGCTGTGGCGGTGGCCCATATAAAGTAGAGGAACATGGGCACAGATGTTAGGCCAGGGCCAATCTTCGTCAGTAAAAAAAAAAAAGAGGAAGATTGGCAACAGATGTTAGCTCAGGGCTGATCTGCCTCACACACACACAAAAAAAAGATAAAGTCTTAATAAAAGAGAAATTTAAAGAAAAAAGTT